CCTCGGATATATGCAACCGCAAGAACAATGTTTTGACTGTTTAATCTGGTTAAGTTGTTCGTTCCGAAAATTAAAATTTTGAATGTTTTTTATTGCCAGAATTCATAATTGGTATGTACGAATAAATTTACTATTTTTAGCTGTCATATTTACCAAACTAGTTCACTTGTCGAATGTTTTGTTGTAATACACATGTAAAAAGCACCTCTCCTTTAGAAATTGTAACTATCAGAAACATGTACTCTAGATCAAAACTATGAATTATTGATTCTAACAAAAGTTTTGAACTCATACGACACGATGATCCTATCATTCAAATTGTGTGCAGTTGTAGGTACTTAGTCATATGGTATCATTTTCGAAATCATATTGAGACTTTCAATGAAATATCGTTTACTTCCACTCCTGTTTCATCACTGTTGTAGATTCTCCTGTAATACACACTGTTTCCACAAAAGGCACTCTTTCTCAATATTCCCACCTGAAAACCGTCCATGAAAAGACATGCTTTTGAGGACTTTTTGTATCTCAAGGGTAAAAACAATAAATTAATTTGAAGTTCTTAGTACAAGGCTGAGTAGCCAATAGTAATACGCGTCAGTTACATATTATTTCCAAGTAACAACAATATAAAGGTGCGGAAAGCCACAGTAACAATTTGTATTGTGACAAGCTCAACAATCCATACTCTTAATATGGATGTGAAAATCCTTTAATGTTATCAGAATGTACTCAGTTGATGAAGCAAATTTTTTCTTAGTTTATCTTCTACTCATCATTATGATTAAGCATAAAAGTAGGTCTATGGCGTACGTAAAGATGGAAAAGTGATCGTTTTATCTGGATTCAACATATTTTCCCGGTTTAACTCCTTGTACTATTCGATCTCTCATTATTTGCATCCCAATAGTCAAATCTGAAAACGCTTAGGAGTATTATTATTATTACATCAAATAACAGTCTTTGCGTACCTCTACTTCTGTTTTCCTGATTTTCTTTCTGTTGTTGGTAAACTTGTCAACAAAGCTGTTGTATAGGTTACAAATGCCTCTGTCAGTGCTTCTGATTAAGACCAGAATAATATTATCATCCCACATTAATGAGGGAGTAATAAAATTTGTTTTTTATCGACGTATTTCAAATAATGTTTAGTGTTACTGATCTTATTGTCTTACTTTCCTCCTTTGTGAATATCATTCGTAAATGAGAGATTTAAAGTTTCATTATGTCGAACAAAGGAGTATTGTTTATTTTATTAGCATCATGCAAGACTTAGTTGCAATTTTTATCACTTTTCATTTTTCATATGTATGTATGCATTTAGCCTTCTGCTTGCAGTTTTATTCCCATATCTAAGGTCTGTCATAAACTCTTCTTTTTGGCTAAAAGTACGATGCTTTGTTGAAACGTGGATATTTAGAGCTTCTCTAGTGTATACCATTATATAAACATAAAAAGTTTCAATTCTTAATTGAAAAAGTTCCCAATAAACGTTAAAAAACACTAGTTTGTTTACTGCTAGTTGAAGGTGGCAAGGTAGATAGAAGTTGATGGTTGCAAGTGGTTTCGATAAAATGGAAACATAACCAGGCGCATTTTGGGAATTCTTGCATGTTGTCTGAGCTTTTTAATTGTCTGTGAATGAACTATGATCACGTTTATTTGATTCATGATGTCTTCCTAAAGAAATTAAGGACATTAGAAAAAGGTTTGTTAAAATGCATTGGTCAAGAATATTGGGTCTTTAATTACTACGTATAGTCATAGATTCAGCTAAATGTACAGTCTGTTTTTTTGTCTCATACATCCGTTAGAAGAAAAACCTATAACTTTCTCCTTGATTTGAATAAATCTCACAATAGTTCGCAATTATCTGATACTATTCAACCTCATACCTTTTGATGTGCTGTTAATAACAAGACTTTGTCACCTAGTAAAATCCTACGTAAATTAAGGAATCAAATGAAGTTGAAAAAATATCGATAAGTTTTATATTAAAACCTTTAAGTAACGATACCTTTTTTGGAAATTAGTTTTGGTATGTATTCGTGATGGTTAGATATCATCTCTCTAAGAAGTAATTTAGCTAATGAACTCGTGGGAGAGGCGTAATTTATAGGACATTAAGTAAATAAAGTGCTAATATTTGTTTATGATATACCATCTAGAATATCTCCCTGTGTGTTGTATATAGGTAAATTTAGTTAACCACTTACATACCAAAGTTTAGGAACTATGCGATTTTTATGAAGTGGACAGTACTTCATGTTGATGATGCCTACGTAAGGATATTTCACTGATCAGAATTATTGATAGTTTGCCGAAAACTCACTTTTTATACATTTAACGACTTCTGGCCTTTCTTACACACTATAAGTCATGTAAACTTCTCATTCATATCACATCACCTTTCTACACTATCACTATTGGAGTTCACCTTATGGCCAAAAAAATCGTTTATATTCTGTTTCTCCATAAAAATGTTACAAAGTTTGTGAATGCAAGTTAAATTGATTTTTAAGGTATGATGTCAACGAGAAGTAAGTTCTTGAATACTTAACAAGATTGTTATCCAATGAGAAATTAAGTCGTATAAATCCAAGAGTTGTAAGCTTTCGCTCCTGAAAAAGGTGCTTTCTAAATATGACGAAAAATAGTCCTTTTTACTACTTAATATTTAATCAGTAACTTGTACATATTAATCACAGCATACTGTATGTCGCAGGGTACTCCGAAATTTGTTGGAAACGTTTTATCTCTTTGTATTAAAGTATAGTTCACACTTTCGAAAAACAACCCACCTATGTTGTAGTAATTACCTTTACCTTCTATCTCCGGTGCCATAGCCATAGGTCGAATATCATCATAACTCGAAGTGGAATTGACAGTATAACGAATACGCCTGCGTTTTCATATCTATTAAAGGCCGAATATACCATTGGGTACATAAGCTTCGCCAAAACAAATGAACCTGAAACTTGGAATTTTCACGTTATACTGACGATTTATATATATGTCCACTTCGTGGATTTTTTATTTGACTTACTCCGAGATTTAAACTTGAACATATTCAATAAGTATATTTCTTTTTCGTTATTTTATTCTATTTTATTATTTCCGGGTCTCTCAATGTATTCAAATACATATTCAATGACTTCATGACCACAGATCTATGGGTATTATAAGTCTCTACATCTTGAAAATCTTCTCAAAGTACTAAGATATGTTATACTAGTTCCTTCTCAACGGATGACATGCCGTACCACGTCAGAAAGTCGATTCCCAATAGATATCGGGAAACAAAATAAGCTTGGTATGCGGACATATGGAAACAACATTTAGTTCGAGATTCATGTTTAGATATGATGCTTACTTGGAGTTTTGTCGCAGTAAAGATATTTGTACTAATCACTGAAATTGACCTTTTGGACCATTACGATCGATTTGTGAACAGTAAACTTCGTAGACGTCTTAATGTTTTAGAAAAGATGTTTTGACATATTGTCCATCTATCGTTATCCGATTGAGCTTAGGTGCGTCTATGCTAAATTACTAGCAGGCTTTCCAAAGCTAACGCAATCAAATTAGGTCAAACCCGAGTCAAAATATTCTACCACGCAATATATTGTAACACAGAGACCACCATTTTCAGTTAAACCACGTACGTTGGACCCAAATAGCGAATTCGACAAATTGCTGGAACTAGCCATGATTTTCCCATCTAGTACGGTATGTTTATACACTTTCCATACAGTTCCCATAGAAGCATCTGGTGAGATCAGATCGCGAGGTAATTATCAAGCCTAAGATCAACAAACATTAGCAGACAAGTGTCCCATACTATACGCTCAACTTTACGAGTAACATGAATAAAGCTGCAATTTTCTTGAAAATCGACCAAATTAGGGAGTTGGTAACTCTTAATTACCAAAAATAATTAAACGTAGACTACACTTTCCTTAAATTTTATGTAGATGGAAATCTTTACTTGGAATTAAAATGAGAATATCGCGTTTGTAAAATGGAATAAGTGGACCATTTTACGATGGTTATAATCGCAAATGACTACAGCTAACTTCAAAAAATAGGTAAAATCTGATTGATTGATTCCTATTTAACGTGAATAATAAGATGTTTAGAAAAGTGTAGACAACAAGGGCGACAATAAATTTATCTATTTTAATCGAGTTTATTCAAGTCCAGCGGAGAAACTACTCAGTTGAAATTAAACAAATGGATACATATGTAAGTTGGGTTAATAGTTCAAACTTGCAAATGATTTTATACTATTTCACTAGTTGTACTTTGTATAAAAGCGATGCCCATAAAATAAAATGCTAAACCAGCACTTGTTGCCACCAAATTGTTGAATATTTCAGATTATCAATCATACAACTTATAGTATCTGAAAACCTAATTTGAAGTGTCTAAATATTTGTATTTAGAGACAATTTCACTGTACTGGAATCGCATAAGAAATAGGCAAACAAATAGATACTGTTGTGTCGAATCTATTCATTTCATTCATTAGTTTAATTTCTCGAGTTGTGGGATATATTCCATATGATAGTTCTTGTAGATCGTACGATACCTTTCATGTCGTACGGAGCTGATTCATTATGTGAAATACCATTCTGTTAGTTGAAGGGTTTTGAACATGAGATTAGTGCGTATTTAGTCGGAAATGTATTATGATTTGGCACTGAATATTCACAGCGCTTTCAGTAACCAAAACTTACTTACTTTGTCACTAAAATTTTATGACAATTCTCATACAGTATTTTTATATGTGATATGAACCAACATCTTTAATCTACTGAATATATATATATGTATATATAAACAATAATATTTTTTGACGGTTTTGTTTGAATGTAAATATAAAATTTGAGCTGCTGGTCTTTATACTAGACCGAACATTACACAATTTGTCTTTTTGTATGTCATAAAAATTTATGTCAGTTATAAACACTATATGACTAGCTTAAAACCTATGCTTTCGTGCCATAGCCTAGTTTACAATGAAACATTTCGTTTGTCGTCATAGTTTCACATGAAAAACTAATGTACTTTTCTTCTTCACAAACATTTAAGTTAAAGTGAGCCAAAGTTCACTTTGAATGACCTTACCTTGTAAGCGTCTGGAAAAAATGCGTATCTAACATTTCAACTTTTCACCCATGGCGTGATTTCCTCTAACCTTGTGATCACAAGGTTTTGAAAGTATCTGATTTTCAATTGGTTGAATTACACTCAGTTCTAATCAACCTATGACAGTACAGTAATTTTTCACCCCTATGACCTAGATGTATAAAGCACTCATCATGCACCGATAGATACCTTCAAATTACGAGAACGTCAGAGTAATTGTTTCTACTCAAGTAAGTTGAAAATTATAACAGATATGGTTAGCTTTGTTTTATTCGTTATATTATTCGGAAAATGACTAACTTGTTCATTTGGACAGTAATAAGAATGGAGATTTATTTTTGATCTTAATATATTTAATTAGCATTTCTGTGCTTTGCGCAACCTCATTTTTGTTTAAACATGTCAGTAATAGCTTTCATAGTCATTTACTTGACTTTCTGAGTAGTTTTTGATATTCATAAGTAATATAAAACGTTTACCCATATTACTAAACTAAGTGAAATAGGACGTAGTAGCCTTGTTTTATATACCCTTAATGAATATGCATTTTTTTTGTCTGGCAATGAAATGGTTAGTTACGTGTCTTAGTTACTTTTTCAATTAATTAATTAAAAGAAATATGATATTCCACTAATATCGGTAAATGGTTTCTGATTTTCACACTGATAAAAGTCAGCAGTTTCTCGAGACATCAAGTGATACAAAATAACCCTAGATGATAGAGATTTAGAATCAGATCGGTACTCACCGTTCACACCACCTTTATATTAAGTTACTTTGTAAATTTAAAAAATAAATCGATTCACTGGCGTTACAGACATTTTGATGTTCATGCATTTTAAATGAAAACCTTGCTGAGAGTTTCTATTCATTTCTACATTTAACTTTTCGAATGTCTAGAATTGGGGTTTTTAATCCAGCATAAGATACAAATTGAATATATTCAAGCAGGTAATCTTTCAGTTTCTTTTGTCTTAACCGCAGATTTGATTCAAAGTCACCATCGGTCGTTTTTCTAATCTATAAATATTTGGTGTTGTAATAGTGTAATCAGTTCTACGTAAGGAATATACTTTTCAGGGTAACATGAAGACCTTGAATTACCAAAACCAAAATATTTATTAGCTGTATATTTATGAAGGAAAGTCCGTAACTCATTGCATAGAAATAACCTTTTAACTCATTTCATATTTTAATAATATACAAACATATATTATAGATGAGGTGCTTTTACAAAAGTAACATTTCTACTCACGTTTGTTGTGGTGTTAATTAATTCCCGATAACAAAGTGCTTACAAGTAAAAACAAACTAATTGATTTTCTCGTAAGTACTATTCACAAGAAGTCAGATTATAAAATGTTTCGTTGTCAGAACCGTGGGTTGATCATCCTGTTTGAAACTTCATGAAAAGCTTGTGTACAAGGGCGAATCAGTGAACTTGCTATTGGAGCGAAAATGTTTCTAACACAAAAAAAAAACAAAATCCAATATCTTTATCTGAATAAAGAAGACTTAGTGTAATAAAATGTGTGCTTTCTCAAGATTGCAGAAAGAATAAGCATTGAAAAACATGAAGTTAACGGACAGTAAGATGGTTTCACTTTCAGAATGTCAGTGATTGGGCATGGAAAATTTTAGATCATGATTTAAATCATAGTGCAGGTACACGGAATTGACGAGTCGTAGCATATTGAACTATAAGATTTTACCATTAAAATTTACTAGATGAAATCCCACAATAATTTCAGATGATATAATAATTTTTCGCCTACTCCGTACTTCACTCATCTTGGACGACCACTAATTATTTTTGGTATGTATTTGTATCTTGGAGACAATTTCGTCGGTTATCTCAAATAGCTACCATTAATTTCATTCCTATTCGTTTCCCTTCGTCCAAAATATAGACCAATGGATAATTACTACCTGGCTAAAGAAGCATCATCATTGTCCAATTTTCTTGAATAAAAATTAAGTTGGTGCAGACATTTACTGCACTGTCTAACAGGGGGTGCCTTCTTCAATAGACAATTTCCTTTCTTTGGTTATAGCTAATTGGTTTAACAAAAAAATCTAATTTATCATAACACTAGTTACATTAATCGTATTATTATCATTATTATTATAACATAAATCATATTGGTGGTGAAGAAAAAATTACCTAAAAAGATTGGTATAAGTTATAAATTTTGAGATATATCGTGTTACAGACTTAACAGAGTTGTTTAAAAACCGGTCTTTCGCTTGGATATATCCATATATGCTCTTAATGATATTTGGTGCACCTCATAACACTATAACTACCATGTTGTTGTACAAACAAGGCGATGAAGACAATAATCCGTTTCTTATGAAGACACTTCCTGTGATTTCATTGACTTGGTTTAATATTTGATTAACTCCCTTTCACTATCTTTTAACCAATATATTGGTCATTATTCTCTTTTCTAAAGCATTGTTTCGCCTCAAATAAATTCACAAGTTTCTTCTGGTTATGTTTTTGATTTTAACTGGTACTCTAATATGTATGAATAATATGTTCTAGTGTGTAAAGAATAAACGTACTTGTAACCCTAGAAGATTTTTATCATGCTGCTTTCGATATCACCCATTGGCTGTTGTTTATCTTGGATGTATGGATATTGGAGTTTAATAACTGACAAATTCTACTCAGCAAAATATCCTCACCATACTGATTTTATTAATAAATGAAACTAGATTCTCTCCAAAATTATGTTAGTAACGCACATGCGAAAAAAACATAGACAACATGAAACTAATTCATCATTGCATATCGCAGATTTTCGATTGTAGGTCCTATCAACCATTTTCACACTATTTTATCTTATAAATATAAGTAAGAAATTTACAATGAGGTTATGCAGTTCAGTTATGTATTGTTCTAATCCTATATTTACGTAAAGATGTGTTTGTTATTTCTAAAATGTCTCCACACCTACTGAACAAACTGTCATTATAATTTCTAATGCGCAGGCAATAAATTTACTTATCTGTTTAGCGGAGTATGTATACATTAGTAGACAATTGTTTGCTCCGTCGTTGCTAATCTGCACTACATTTTACCTTCTCTTTGTTTAATTAAACTATAAATGTGTGATCAGATTGTTCGAAAAATGTATTGCTCTACTATATATTACATAGTCTTACTAATCTTTGTCTTCTCATTGCATTATTATCCAGCTTTATCAGAAATAAACTAATTCTTTTGTATTTTACTGTTGCAGATCTAAAGGAATTCCCGTCTATAATTAACGTTTATATGAGTGTGATCTTTGCAACAGTTATTTGATTCATCTGCATACATCTGCTCAGTTTGTTGTTTTGCTACCTTATCTCATCGTGGGATTTGCGGTTTACATTCCATTGGATTTTACTTTTCATAAGCACTTCTCCAATAACAAATATTTCATACATAGATCATGGCTCGTATATCGAAATCTAATCGTATTTGCTTGATTTTATCTGCAGTCGCATTGCTTTTCTTGTCGTTTATGTGCGTAATTGGGATACTCACATTCAACTATTTATTTACTAGTCTGATTTCTAAGGTCAGTTTTTGGTTCGTTTTTTAAATTATACACAAATATACATAACTTCTCACATATTTGGATTGAATTTTATGTACGAGGAAAAAATGCTGAAGAGTGGTCATTCTTTGCCAAAGAGTTGATTAACTTTTACAAAACTTCTGTAACTAGTTTGGATTTTTTCTATACGGTGGTTGACCCATCAGTGCGGCCAAAATACAGCACACCTTCAGGACTATCTGGAAAATGTCAATAAGTGGTTATTCTATGAGATAATAATGTATTCTGCAGGATAGATGAGTATGCTAGTTGTTTGACGGTTCATGTGGTTCAACCAAAAACTCTGGAAATGATTCAGAAGTAGAATCGTTAATATTTCTAGGTTATTATTATTTCTGTCTTTTATATGAGCAGCAAAAGGATCACGGTTTTTATGTGTAATTATTCACTTATCTATAATTATTTCCGTTGTTTCATCGTTTCTTTTCCTATCTTCATACTACTTTTTCCTTCACGTCTCTTGTGAAGTTTCATAGTCGATTGTGCAGCTTAGATTAACTTATTTAATTATCGTGGATGAACCTTATTTTGTACGTCATATTATCCTTGTCAACACTGTATGCCATAAGTAAGAGCCTAGTTGGTTATTTTGAATAGCTAACTGGATAAACTGAACAAATAATCGTGATAAATAGTGTATGTTGTTATATTGATAACCATTGTATTTTAAGAATGTAATTACTTGGTATTTGTGTTTATCACTAATTATGAATTCATTTAACTATTCTCCTATACATTGTAGAAACTTGCCATTTTACCTGGTAGTGAGGTTTACGATAATTGGATATCACCAAGCGTGCCTGTGTATTTTTCCATATATCTTTATAATTTAACTAATCCCCAGGAAGTGCTGAGTGGCGCTAGACCACGGTTTGCTGAAGTTGGGCCTTACGTTTATCGGTTAGTCTATTTGTTTGATAGTTATTGTACTCCACGAGTCAATATTCTTCACTGTTAATCAGATTTGAAACTATTAGTGAATATCTTTTTCTTCACATTGTTTTTTATGACATATATAATGTGGTATCACTGAAGATAATGATTACCCCCAACTTTTTTTATACAGAGAGGATCGTCAGCGTAACAATGTAGAATTTTCTGACGAATCTCCCCCCAGAACTGTAAAATATCAACACAGAATTCTCTACCACTTTCAGCCTGAACTTTCTGTTGGTCCTGATGATCAGGGAATCGTTACAAGTCTCGATCTAGTAACAGTAGTAAGTTACATTCATTTTATGTTTTTGTACGTTGTCACTGATTTCATTTAACAAAGTCTGTTTATTTAAAGGTTCACCTTACAGTGGTATGTGGTTGAAATATATCTTTATTGCCTTACATCATAATCTGATATAGATCGATTAATCGTCAAAAATCAAATTTACCGAATACCATTTCATCATTATTCATCAGCAATGAACTTTCATTGTCGCTTCCAGACGTTCCCATACCTTTTATGTAGGTGATTATAACTAAAACCACTTTGATGGTCAGTTATTAAGTTAGAATGTTTCTAGATGGTTGAACATCTCTACACACTTGCCAAATGTTGTAATAAGTGATTCATGTACATAAAGTCGTAACTAAACTGTTAACTGAAATCCCTTGTGTACGTTTGTCCATTAAGTCAAACGTGTTAATCCAAGACTATTTGGTTATTATCTATCTTATTTGCTTCCTATTAAATATATATGTATATTGTGGAAAAGATGGCTGATTATTATTTGATGATTCGTTATTCACTGAGAGATTTGACACGTTTCAAACTGTTAACATTGGTGTCTATTTGAAATGGCGCAGTTGAGAAGGATGTGCATTATTACAGGCGCATATTATTAAAGGTGATCGTTGAAAGGTGAGATAACATTTTTAATGATGTGAAATATGTTCGGTTTACTCTCTGTCCCTTTGACCCATAACCAATCAAAAGTGTAGCATTTTACACGTGTGATGACGAGTCTACTTCCAATGGATATTGTGATTTTTCGAATGCAGTAACAAATTGTTATTGTTATGTTTCTTTGCATGTCTATTTCAAACGGTTAGAATATAATCTTTTGTTGGGATTTTTCTAAAATGCTTCATAGATCTTTCGTGAATTAGTATATTAGTATATTATTTGCGATTAAGTACGATAGCAATTCAATGCCATAACTAGGATAATAACAATAACAATTTGTTACTGCATTCGAAAAATCACAATATCCATTGGAAGTAGACTCGTCATCACACGTGTAAAATGCTACACTTTTGATTGGTTATGGGTCAAAGGGACAGAGAGTAAACCGAACATATTTCACATCATTAAAAATGTTATCTCACCTTTCAACAAACACCTGCCTGTAATTATGCTCATCCTTTCCAACTACGCCCTAGTTATTGTGGACCGTCTACGTGTATATCATTTTGAAATCCACTTATTCATGTTCTTGTAATTCTCCGATATCCATTTTACTTATCACACTTCTGTGAAATTTTCGTTTACCACATTTCCTTTATTATCATGCTAACCTTGTCTTTTATGTGTTACTATAGGGCATAAATGCTCTTCCAGAGCACTACAAAATGGCGTTGTTCTTCTTCACACTCAACGCATTTGTTTCAAAGACACCTCGTGAAATCATCTGGGGTTATGAAGATAGCCTAATGTCTGCTTGTTTGAGTATGGGAGCCTGTGAAACAGATCGTGCTGGCTTAATGGCTATGGTAATTTGTTCTTATCTATAAGTTTTAGTTTTATTTACTATACACAACTAGATGCTATGTATTTTAAAGTGATTGTTTGAGAGTCACTTTAATCTGTGTAGAAAATTGGTGACAGGCTGTATTCACTTTACACTTCATGTTCATTTCTTTCTTTTGTAGTTATTAGTGACAAAACAATCTTTTGTTACTGAGATGAATAGAAATCTTAGCATACCAATTAAATTACTTTGTCTTTGTTGTTGTTTTCTGTCATGCAATTTAGTTTGATATTATATGGTAAACAGAAGAAGTAGCATTAAATAATATCAAGGGAACTATTACTTAGTTATTTTTCTCATCATAGATATAAGCACTTTTATTTGTTAATAACTGCTACATAGATTACAATAGTTCAATAATATCATCGAAACTAAATAATGTACTATACTTAAATTTAGCGGTTTTATGACTGGGCTTTTTATTGCAACCTATATTTAGATCCAAGTTTACATTGAAACGACTGAAGCTTTTTTCCTGAACTCTAACAGTAAATGCTGAGGGTGTGATTATTAATATACGTTATATATATATATATATATATATATATATATATATATATATATTCTCTACTGATAGGTTACTTTTATACAACGAGGAACAGGTCTAGCATCTTATCAATATCACCGCAGAATATATGAAGGAACGAATTACTCTGTTGAATAATTAGTTATCTTGTTCTTTATTCGTCGAAAAAGAGATAAACCATTTGGGTTTTTGTTAGCTAATATGTCTGTATCAAAATCCTCTTAAAAGCATTCCAGGACAACGTAATCACTTATGATAATAAAAAAAACCAAGTTTTGTTTGACCTTTCAATATGGTTATTCTGTTCGTCTCGTTTCATACAATTCCTCTCATAACAACATCCGTTTATTTTTGTCATCAACAAATCCCGTGGACCTTAAGATTCACTCTTTTGCTGTTGGTTAGTTTACCAGCTTATCCGTCTTATGTACATGGTTATTAGGATTGGATTGGCTGACCTACTGAGGCCATCAACATAGTTTTGCTAAAGGTTCCATATATATGTACACTATCTGTAATAGAATCATATAAAACTGGGACCTAGAATGTACCTGACCACAAAACTATCTACTTCTGATGTTTTCTTATAGTAAATCTCGAGGTATGATTAGTCAAATTTACCGTCGATGCATTTAATTTTTCTTATTCGTTCGAAATAGTCATTATTGAAACGTTTTTATGAAATCTATACTTTTGAAACATTATCTATACTCGATCAACAATTCATTAGTTTAAACACTTGATTACTTACTACTCGGTCGTCTGTTTAAACTTTTGTTCACTTTCGGGAATTTTAAAAATCAGGTTACAATCATTAATTGTCAGCCAATAACGCACAATTTAGTACATGGTTACTGAATTGTAAAGAAATCTCTTGAATAATAAAAAGCCCTTCATCAAATGCAAAAATAAATAGTTTGATGCCTTAAACTACTTTTGAAGAATAAACTGGACAACTACGCAGTTATCTATGAATTACTCAGCATTTAGAAAAAATATCATAATAGTGATCAGCGTTTTTCCGGGAAAATCATTGCAAGATGTTCTATGCTGAACGTCAAAATTCATGTCTTCGTCAATAATTGATTTTGATCTGTCAGACTAAAGACATGGTTTTACGACAATTTGAGATTCATCATTAATCGTTTGCATAAATCTAAACACAAAAGTCGCAAAGTAGGTTCGCTTCCGTTCTTTTACTAGTTTACCATTATAAGCTGTTTTTTTCATTTAACTATTTCTCATTGACTAAACGTGGAATATGACTGACGTAGTGCTTTACTGGTATTGACAATCCCCACGGTGACTTGAACGATACTGTCTCATCAAGTCTCAATAAAACTACTATTTCAACTCTGGTGTTTTTAAGCAGTGTAAATTAATTACGTCTAAACATTATTTTACGATTAAACACTTCATTTCAGTTTAAATACAGTTTTTAAGAATCCTAAGAATACTCCAAGTTTTTTAAAGCATCTACATATTGTGCAGTTACGTTACTGCCATCTCGTGTGTATACAATTCTTCTCATTAAATATGACGTATTTTGGTGTTGTGCCTATTACTTTATTGACAAAAATGAAAAGCTTATCAATCAACGTATTCAAATGAGTCATGTTTGCTTTAATTATCATAAACCTATGACTTAGAAAGTTTAAAATAACCTCTGATTTTGTATATTTTTACTTTAAGGCCACTTATTCCCTTTTTTCACCTCTAGAACAATGGTACAAAAGTTGGTAATTTTGTCATTGATACCGGTGCTTATAATATTTCAAACGTCGGAAAAGTGCTAAAATACAACGGTGCAACGTAAGTATCTGTGTACACATTTTTCAGTAACTATTAGTTTCATTTACGGCTTTGTGATTAAGGGACTTGACTTTCGGCAGTTCAATTGCAGGTTCTAACCTTCATTTTGAACTATACGAGAGCATCATTTAATTGTAAAATACAAAATAGGACAATATTTAGTCATTTAGTTGTATTATGTAATATCATTAGTAATAAATAAATACCTTCTGACAGATGTGTGGTTCGCCACTTTAATTGGTTAGAACAATTAGAAATTAAGTTTTCAATAATTAGCAATATGTTTCAGGATCATGTTGTACAGCAACTTGAAGAATATTACAGCTTTGTGTTTGATCTGATCTGTCTTCATTTAGAATGGTCATGAAATTTACAACAAGTCTCTGTTACTTAACGAGTCTTGTAAAAAGTTTCGAGGGGTGGTTGTTACCATCCGAAAATTCCCCACTGGATGTGCACAACACATCTTTTGTAAAAGCACCTACTGAGCATCATCTAACCTCCTGTTATTACTATTAAGGTGTTTAATGACAAGTCCTTTCTAAGTAATTTTAGATAGTTTAGCATGGGTTTTTTTGTTTTACATTACTGTTACTTTCCTAATTTGATTCCACTCCTAAGAACCTAGAAACCGTGTATACGCATCATAAAGAACATGGAAATTAAATTAACGTATGATCATTCCTGTATCAATAATTTTATACCCCCGCTGTCTGTTATTAGTCCAATAATTTCATCGATAATCATTCAGTCAATCTTAGGTGAACATCATTTTTCAGAAAAGTCGTTAATTTTATCCCATGTGTTAAATGAAATATCTCATATACTCACATTAGCATTGTGTTTTCATCTTTCGCATTTTTAGATCTTTAGATTACTGGCACACAGAATACGCGAATATGATAAATGGCACAGGTAAGTTAGTTTCTAGCTAAATATCAAATTTTCTTACACTGGATATCCAAACACTTCATGTCTCACATACAGCTTAGACTTTCAAACTGTTATTCGAATTTTCACGAACTTAGCCATATGAATACCCTAATGCCTAATTTGAAAGTCGTGAGAAGAAGACAAACGAACCATGTAACAAGTGTGATCAATCATCTGAATCATATGTAAGTATTCATCAAATGAGATGAATAAAATATGCTAAAACAAAACCACTGCCAGTATTTTTTCTGGTGTCAGTTACTGCAAGTTATTCATGAATAAATTGCATAACTGAACACTAACTATTCAGTCAGCTGGTTCACAATTGTATTATATTGTTTTATGTCAATTTACCATCATGGCTGTGATTGTGACTGATGAATAACGACAAGTCTGGAATTGAATCATCTACGTCTAACATCATAACTTGCTCTAATGATAACGACGTTTTTCATTTTTTTTTCCCCATTTTCAGATGGCAGTGTTATACGTCCAGGATTACAGATGTCTTCTCGAATCTTCTTTTTTGTGCCAGACTTCTGCAGATCTTTTCATTCAGATGCTGTTTCATGGACAACTGCAACTCATGACAGCAGTGTACATGTAAGTACTGAAATCCAACAATTTTCTTATTGTATTAGTGTATACTTGGTAATTTTTTTAAACATCTTTCCTAAAATATTAATCATACTATTCACATAGTGCTTCTATCATGCGGACAATTAAAATCTTGATTGCCTCAACAAGGTTTCAGGAATGTTACATCGATAGTGGCTCTTGAATACAGCAAAATGCATTTAAAAATTTGCAGATTTAGTATGTGGGTAATCAATTTTTATCTAAATTAAATAGATTGATACCATCAAAACATTGATAAATTTTAAGTTATCTTGTGAAATTTCTTCAACAACTGATTATCTGCTCATAATCTTATGACAAAAAGTATACTACAGTTGTCGTCAATGAAGACTTAATTGTGTTCTTATGTTTCGGTCTCAACAAGTTTAAATAAGTTTCATTAACTAATGCTCCACATTTTTGCGTAAACATTATTTGGGCGTGTGCTACGTATGTGCTAATAGCACATGTTAAGCGTTCCTTCTTGTTATATTACTTCTGCAGTACAGTACATTTCAACTCAGTTGAAAAAGGACCATTGTTTTTTTCTCATTTTCCCGCCTCATTCTAGAAGGAATAAGCATATCCTAAGGATATTTCACATAAGTCTAGACACTTTCACAACTTTATAGAGAAATAATAGAACAAAATCTTGTAGAACCCTTTGGGTCGATTCAAGTTGTCCCACATCCAAACTCTGAAGCCCATGTTCAACCAAGACTGATAAAAATCTTGAAATTTTGTTTAAAGTCGAAATATTTGGCAAGTTACAAAAACAGATTTTATACAGTAGAGTAGTTAGGATTATTTTTCAAATATTTAGATTCAGCTACCAAGCTTTATAGAAACTTGAACTATATAATTTTCCAAATCCCACAAATATATAAATACATTGTTCATCTAATTCAGAACTGTTTATTTTGTACATATTATTAGCTAAATTGAACATTGTTTTTTATAATATTTTTTTGTCGTTAGAAAAAAACTAGAGCATCTTACAAATCCCCTTGGTCAACAAAATTAATGTTCAGATGGGAATTTTCTGTCTATAACAAAATAACTATTTCCCTCCATTAAAATGCAATCTTTTATCAATAAATAAACGTATGATTTTTCACGATGATTTATATTGATAGTTCATATTTTAATTCATTTTCATTTTCTGAAGGTTGTCACCATGCTACTAGTTGTATGCATATATGTACAATCTTAATTAATAAATGAAATCTGACAGCCTAAAATGGCATTGATATTGATCGAGATATCCGAATTAGCTCTTACTGATGATGTGTATTTGACGAATAGTATAATCGTTTGAAATGATTCTTCTTCAGTTTTTTATGATAAGCGTGTGAAGTTATATAAAACATGGAAATCTATCATCGCTAAGTTGTGCGACATTTATAAGCATCTGTTTTTTATCCTATCACCTTCAAGTAAACATCATTTCTAGTATGGATTTCACCAGATTTTGATTTCACTTTTATTACTATTCGGATTCCCATATCTACTGATTCTCAGAATTTGGTCGCTAGTGAATAAGCATTGTCAAGTAAGGATTTATTAATATAATGACGTAAAGTGTCGGTAAACATACTTCTAAGACAAGAAATACATTGTTATTAGGCTACGTCTATCTTCATATTTTTTCCATTTCTAGCTGCTTAGATTTGCTTCCCATCCCGAACAATCCCAAAACGCCACTGTCAATCCCCTGAATGCTGCATTCTGTCCAAAGAAGAAGGCTGGTCCAAAGTGTCCTCCAACAGGAATGATACCTTTGTCACCTTGTTCAAACCCGAAGCTCTCAGTCCCTATATTTGCTTGTCAACCACATTTCTTGGGAGCTGACCCTAGTATTCGTGCAGCTTTAGATGGGATAAGAGAGCCTGATGAAAAACTGGATTCTACTGTGCTACTTATCGAGCCTGTAAGTAACGCATGTTGATATTTCATCTTACTAGTTAAATAATTGAATTGGTCTTCAAGCTGTTTATTTTGTTGATTGACTTATCCTCTTTAATTTTCAATATAAGTTGTTCGTTTAATTACGATTTCGTGTACTGTGTTGGTGTTAGAGTGAGACTGATGAAATTCAGAGTGTATATATTTTAGTGTCTATCAACAACCTAAATATCGATATTCATAAAACTTTGCTTACCCTTGTAACTTGTTTTTACTTGAGGTGTTTGCAGTTCCATACACTCATCTTCAGTTACGAGAGATGTTTTTGTTGTTGCTTGATTGGTAATAATCCTTGTTTGTGTAGGTATGTACTTCGAAGTAACTTACAGTGTACATCCTCTTTTCAATAAGTCATTTGCGATTTCCCTAATGCTTGGTTTAGGAGAAAACATGGCAACAATTTATCAAGTCATTGACAAGGGGACTAAGTCATGTCGGTAGTTGTCGACTACCTGGTTGGGGTTCACGATATGATAATAATCGATGGTTAGAGACCCTGAATGATATGGCTCAAAACCGTTTGCAATGGTGCCGGTGCGTTTATTCTTTGAGTTTTCTCAAATCCTAATCTTCTGGATTCTTCAACACCTCTAGTTTTTTCTTTCTAAGCTTATCTCACTGAATCATACTTCTTGAATAATATCTTCTGATCCTAACCTCCCCAATCACTGCTAATACCTTTACTATCTCTACTACTATTGGATTTGAATTGACAATTATATCTCTGTGCTGATGTGGTTTGGCAACATGAACTGATGTACGTACGTATGAAGTTCTACGTTGCATCTGACTGACTGACTGGTTTCTGTTATGTTCACACATACCTAGGATTCATTGCTATCCATTACTGGTGACTTACTCAGTTTAATGGTCATGGTATCACAACCTAGTTTTTTTTACCTGGTTACAATGAAGTTCGACTGTAACTATTACATAATCAGCATCGACATCCTTAGATTTTTTATTCTGAACTTCATGTATTCAGTTACTTTTATGAATCAGAAATTTAACGTCACTCAGTAACATGCGATAAATGTTTTATTACCTCCTGATAATAAATAAACATATGTCGTTGCTGCTACACTATATGACTTCGTGTTAAATTAAAAAGAAAAAAAATTTGTTCGTCCTTTTTTTTCGATGCACTATAGAATACTGGATTTGTATTGGAAGCTTTTAAAAAGGTTCAAATCAATGCATACATTGAAAATGTTGGCAGTTTGTAAGTGATCTGCAGCTGTATTAAATAATACTGATATACTTTTTTTTATTCTATGTTGTATTTCTTGTCATATTTAATAAAAATTTATTCGATTGATATAAGTTGAAACAAATCACTTGTTTAAATAAATATCATCAACTTATTCTAAACTGTAATTCACTACTCTGAGTGATTAATATGATTGAGTTAAGCACTGGAATTACATAAATCTTGGAAAAATGTAAACTTATCAATGATTAGAGTGTAATCTTGGTCTATTTTGTGTGCACTTTCAACTTTGAAAGTATGATATAATTATGAAATTTTAATTTCAATGCACTCTTTCTAAATAGCTGATCGCATATCGACTTTAATTGTGCTCAGCTATCTATTATAGGTGTAGTTTGTTGAGGTATTAAGTAGATTCTCGATTGGTGTATTTAAGTTCTGAAATGATAATATTCATCAGTTTGGTTTTCTTTAGTTAATAACTTGTTCTGAAACAGTCATTCGTGTGGAATGTCGTTCAATGATCAGGCGCCGGTTTTGTTGATTCAGTCCTAGTTTAGATTAGAACTTATAATTTATTGACATTTTTCAATGTGCACAGATAACAAATAATAAGTGATGTATTTTTTTATGTGTCCGTTGTCGAATATAAGTCTATTTAAGAAAAGCCAAATATTTTTCCAAAGGCTTGGAAAAGCTAGATAACTAACACTATATAACTACTGTTCATTCTTCACAGTTACTTACCTCTACATTAAAACTATTCTGTTGAGGTTAAACCACTTCAATTGCATCATTACAATATCTCATGTAAATTGCTACCTATTTTTTGGTGTACATTTATTTATTAATAAGGAACTGGTAATCAAAAAATCAATGTACACGCAAATGTACGATTACAATAAAAAGAGAATTCTTTTCTTCACCTTGAAAGAATTTCAGGAATAGAGCTTTTTCAATCATGTTACGCCAAGTTGATTTCATTTTGATGATGACGATCAAATGATATTCTTTATAAATTTATGTACCATTTATCAGCTGATCACATGAATATGACAAAAATACAAAGTTGAGTACGAGCATGTATTTAATGCGTAAGAATGTATAAAAGACTTACAAATTTTGCGCGTTCACAGTAGCAAGAAAATCACAACTAAGTTTGTTTTCGATCAACAGATTACCCATTGGTTGCATATTTCCACTGTATCTGTATATGTTTGGATCTTTTTCAACTTTGTTGTTATTTTCTTAATAATAAGAATGATTAATATCGTACTCTTCACACTTTTCTTCTTTGTGTAGGAATGAAGTATACGAAGATATGGCAGGACCGTATTTTTTCCCCTTAGCTTGGTTTACTGAGGTTTGTGACAATGTGAAGAAATATTTTCAAAAGTTTTTTTAATCAATCAATTAGTTAGATCAATAAAAAAAACATTTACTTGTTAGTCAGTACAAACTCATAAGAAATCTAATTTGATGGTTTTTTAATCAGTTCTCTTCCCGTTTACTAAATAATATTTGTTCATGGCTTGTTTCCATATATTGCTAGGAGATATCCACTCTTTGAGATTATTGATCTTCACTGTAGTGTGTGCAAAACTTGGTCACAGCTCTGTATATGTGATCTTGGATCACTAAATTTAAGGTTTCAAACTAAACTTTGACTAGATATATTTAGTCATATAACCGTGCCGCCCACTAAGTAAACTGTTTTAATAAACTATTTTCTAGACTGCTTTATTTCTCCCCTACATTATTACAAATGTTATAAGTATAATTATTTAAATAATGTAGTGTTGGAAATGTAATAGTCGATTCAAATGTGCAATACATCGGTGTAAAACCGATGCATTCCTGGACTTCATATACCCCCGTCCTGACAATTTAGTATTCCAAAATATAATGATACAATTATCGAATATATTACAAATATAAGATAGTCGATACTGTTATCGAATTATTTAAACAAGTAATCTATAAAGCTAACCTAAGTGAGGTACTGTAAGTACTCAAGTGAAAAACTTTTATTTTCGTGCGAATGCACCATTCAAAATCAAAGAAATATTCAGCCTGTACCTGCATGTAACAGCCATTCGAAAGTCATTTCAACGGTCATTTATAAAACAATCTAATAATTCACTTCCTTACGCCTGTTACTACTGATAAGACAGGCATTTTCAAAAAGCCTCCAACCAGCGCTATTTCGAGACTTTCCTTCTAGTTGTCACCTACTTCTACTCATCTTTTTCATGTCTGCCTCTAATACTCGGCTCCATTCGTTCATCAATTTCCCCCCTCTTCTTTGATCTTGACTATTCCAAATCCTCGCTTGCCTCTAAAGCGTATCCTATCCTATTACTGGTGATCTTTGACCGATTGATCTGTAGTATACTGTGTAGACAGCTGTTTGTCTATACATGAACTATTTTGATGTGATGATTCTGGATGTCCTCCAAGTTTCAGCTCCATGCGATGGAACTGTTTTGACATTAGTATTCAAAGACTTGACTTTGGGCTTAAATGATAACTGTTCTCAGTTACTAATATTCCTCAGTTGTAGGAATATTACTTTTGTTATGCCGATTGTTATAATCGATGCAGCGGAAGTGGGTAAAGACCAGAATGTGTTTGGGAACCTGTTCTTCAAGTGTGACTTATTCGTTGTGTTCTATGTTGTAGCTGAAGATTAACTTTTCATGATACTGCTCATCCGAATGTCCGATTCTTATTTGTCTTCATTATCAGATTGGCTACGAGCAGGTGGTGTTGTGAAGTAGTGACAACTTCTCTGATTATTCTGACCACCTCGATGGGCTTGTCTGGTTCCCTTCATTGTTTCTTTTAACCAGTGTATTTGGTGATGATGATGATGATGATGCATTCATACTCAGTAATGAACCCAATCTCTGTCATCTTCGTCCCTATCATCAGTGGGTACGTAGCACTGGGCGATATTCATTGTAATTCGTTCTTCGTTTGTTTGTTGTTACTGGTGGTGTGATGATCCTGGAGCCATGGGTTTTCCATGTCACAGGCGTTTTCGATGCTCTTTTTGACAGCTTATTTTCAATGCCTTGTTCATGTGGAGCATGTTCTTCCTCACGACCGGAATACAACAACCCTCCCGTGTTCAATCTTTTTAGTCTTGATGGCATCTGATGAGTTCTATGTATTGGAAATACGGTCAGGTTGTATGTTCTCATATGCACCGCTCTTTGGATGACCTCGCTCTCTCCGAGATTGTGCGGACACTTCATGTACGTACGTATGTTAATTGGTGCTGTGATTGTCAGAAGGGTTGTCGATCTCTCAGTTCTCACTATGAGACATGGTAACATTTATGCAGAGGCCCTTCACTTGTCAGGAGAGAGTTTGGATGATTGTTTCTGGTTGAGATTTTTTTTGATTAGAGGTTGTTACTACTACTATTACAATCACCAACCTCCCCCCTTCACTCGTGATTGTAACCAGGAGTAACAGCAGTTTGTCTCTATGTAGTCAAATATTATGATGTAGACATTGTATTGGTATAAATCTTTTTTCTTCTCGAAATTATATTCCGAGTTTATAGACTTGTTGTTACTGTTTATTTTTCAGTTTGCAGTAGCTGACAAAAAAGCGCTGGCAAAGATTTCGAATTATATTCTTAAACCTAAGAAAGTTATACCTATTGTATTATGTACCGTCGGCTCTCTTGCACTTATATCAGCCGTTATTTTGATAGCAGTCCTATTAACTCGTTATAAATTACGAAAGACTGATAGTGTTACTATACATGCTCAAGCTGAATCTGCAAATATGCCGACGGATTCTGGGTTCAATGATAAATCTAGTGAAAGCCCATTTGGTCATTGGACTGTTAAACCTTCACCAGAACACGAGTCACTTCAGGTAAATTTTTATCGAACTAGCCTGCGTATGTTTTACATATAAAAACATTTATTCAAGTAAATATGATTCGTCAATTACAAATTCCAATTTCTTGGAGTGTCACTTACTAATGCGATACTTCGTTTTTTTCATCAGCTTGGTAAGTTTTAAGCAGTAACTATTTGTTTCTGAAGAAAAAATATATATGTCAGTTCCCTAATTAGGCGTGAAATCACCGCACCCATCAACTCAAGTATCTTATGGTAAACTAAGCAACTTTTAATGTACATTATTTAGAAGGAATATCCATTTTTACTAGATAATCTGTCACTTCAGCGTATCCAGAATAAATCCCAGCACCGGTTCTTTATTGACCCGGCCTATATCATTTGTACATATTTTGTCTATGGTCAACTGACTACTGATCTATTTATCTTGTTTAAAGAATGCAACCAATTCCCATTTCTTTCGTTCTATTAGGAAACGGGTCCTAGGTAAGGATGGCAGGTCAATAGATGAAGTATTGGAACTTCACTCAACTGGTTGGGACATGTGTTACGTATGCCTAACCACCGACTGCCTCGGTGAGCTGTTTTGTGGTGTGGGAGTAGGTTGGAAGAAAGCTAGGGCCGGCCAAACCAAAACATGGCACAAGTCCATGAAGTCACTGACAAGTGGACTGAGTCATATTGGTAGGTGTCGACTGCCTGGTTGGGGTCCGCGAGACGAAAGCCACCGACGGTTAGAGACCTTGAACGACATAGCTTGAAATGGCGCAGGTCCATTCATTCATTGTGTTCTTTCAAATTCTAACCTTATGAATTCCTCACCATCTTTATCTTTTCCCTTTTAAGTTTATGTCGCTAGATTCTACTTCTTGAATAATATCTTCGAACCCTAATCTCTCCGATCACCTCTACTACTATGAGATTTGAAGTGACATTTGCATCTCTGTGCTAATGTAGTGCGGCAGCTTGAACTGATGTACGTACGTACGAAGTTCTACGTTGCTGTTGACTGACTTTCTTCCTATTACACCCTGTGCACATATGTACAAAGTTCCATGTTGCTTAGGAGACAAATTATTTTCCAAAAGTGTGTATAATCAAATTAATACTACATACGGATTCGAAAATATAATCATGAAAAAAATTAATGATTGTAAAATATTTCAAATTCTCGAAATTACTTAATATTAACGATTCCAAAGTCCTTTTTATATCAAATTCGTATCAAGCAACTATTGGCGGTATTCTTTATAAGTTAAATTCAATAATAAACTCTATTTATAATTACGTAAAATTTAAATATTGACGTCTGCAAAGAACTTGTGATTATTTCACATCTGTATGTTTATTATCACACACTGCACTCTTACACGATCATAGGAAGAGGTTATCGACTGCCTGCAATCTTCTTCAAGTAGAATACTTAAAACTTCACTGTAATACGTAAGCAAATTTGACACAAATTATAATTCCTTTTTATTAACGATTAAACTGAGCATTAATTTGCAATAACTGGGAGATAAAATTACTAGCGTTAAACGACCAGTTTCCACTCACTACTCAAAACTAACAATACCAATATAGGTTTTCACCTGTTGGTTTCCTTCTTTCCTATTACGTGTATATGACTACTTCTAATTGTTTATCTGCTTTGATATAAGACCAATCATTTTTGTCTGTTGGTGCGTCGTAAACATTCTGTCAATTAATATTTACCTAACTGGTGTACTTATTATATTCCAGATTTTCTTGTTCCTAACTCAATTTAATTAATGTTTTATCTATAAAAAAAATATTCGTTTGATGTATTAAACTGTTTACTTCGCTTGTTGATTGTTTTTTTCTCAATTCGAAATTTGATGGATATATATATATATATATATACATATATATATATATCAAAAACAACAGAAAACTAATGATTTAATAGCTATCTTATCATTCCATCGAATCCGTCCTACTGTTATGCATACGTATAACATTGTAATTAATCTTCATAGGTAATTTCTAGGTCTATAATCAATGAAAATACTTCTCGAATTATTATTTCTTTTTTATTCGACAATCAACACCTGCCGTTCAACATTTGTAACTGGGACTCTTAGTAACACGTTGAATTTATCTTTGTGACTTCATCTTTAACCGTTTAATGGTTCAGTATCGTCATTCATCTGTATAGGTTTGTTTTAGTCAAAAATGGTCGTAATAAATTATAAAAATTATTTGTGAGCAAGCCCACTCTGTAAGTAGATTACAGTTTAATTATGAAGTTTAAACTTCTGTTTATCTTTCTTAGAAATCTAGTTCATATCTCTATGCCTCTAAACAAGCATACCTTACAGTTTCATAAAGCCTAATTACATTATTCTATTGCTGTACGCCTGAACCAAACTTTTACTGTTAATGATGAATGTAATCATCAGAAATTCCATTGCCTCAATCAAAGTTAGAATTCTGTGCTTTTTATGTTTATAAATCTGGTTTACTTTGTTAATACGATTTTATTAAATAAACTTCGATTGAAATACTTTTCTTAACCTCATTACTACATACTTGAAGACAAACGTCTAATTGTATGTGAAACACTTCGACTTCAAATATAATTTAAGATGTTCAGGTATCGTTGTGAGAAGGTTTGAATTGTATGCTTAATTAGTCTATATTATACTATGTTTGTCATATATATGAACTAACATAAACTAGTTTATTAATTCTATTTATCGATATTTATGTGAATTTACATTTGAATAGAGCATGTATTACACACATTTGACAAGTTCAAGTGCACCAATATAAATCAAATCATATTATAATCCTAGATTATAATTTATATTCTCTTTCATCCTTCATTAAATACTAAGATCAAAATAAATTTAAGCACCAATTAGCGAAAAGTTTCTTCAGCATACCACACATCATTTGAATTCGTTGTTCAATTTTCCTCTTATATACTCACCTGCGTTATTGATCTGTATTTGCGAATGGCACTTGTCGTTTTATTTTACTTAATTTGATATTTACGTTAATTTACAAGTCCTTGAAAGTAAGCACTGTCTCACTATGTGGGGCTACCGGTAAGTGTTTTAAAGTAAGAATACCTGTTCAATAGTATCAACTGAAGATGTTCTTGTATTTTTAAATGTAAGCACTTCTCAAGTACACACTTTTACCTTCATGATATCAGTTTCGTTTTGTACAAAAATATCAATTAGTTGACTAAATATATTATTCCTGCACTGTGTACTACATTTATTCAAATTTATACCCACATTTTAACAATTACTGGATTTTTGAATTATTTTCAATGATGATAAGTTTGAACTTTGACAGTGTGATGTTTTAAAAGGTCAAAACTATACTAACATTATTTAATTACTGTGCAGTTCAGTAAACGTACTGAAGAGAAACTGGACATTACAAGCGTATTCATTTAATTACGCAAACAGAACTCTACTTCACTATAACTGAATCACAGTTAAATTCTTTCTTTGCTTCATTTGATAGTCCAAACACTTAATAAGGCTTTATCATTCTGAATACACATACAAAAGAAATAAATGTCAATTTTTTATCTGCAATCAATTATTGCTTTTCAAATACGCATTCCATAAGGAATGCAACAATCTTTCTGTTATGACACTTGTGATCTCCCCCATTATTTTGAACTAGCATTTCGTATCATGTTCTTTTCTTTTTTAAACAACAAATAAACTGAATATTATGCTTGAAGCTTAGTCCTATTTGTAATTGTTCACTACGGTTAAGAATATTTTGATAATTTTCCGAACAATTATTTTCTGTGATCTCTTTTTTTTGATAAAAAAGAGGTGGAAGATTCCATTTGTTAATACTTCCAGGCTTTATTCAACCTCTCTCTCTCTTTCCTTCGTCAGAAAAATACTACAGTCACTGCCCCCTCCCCCCGCTGATTCGCATCTCCGCCTCCAGTTAAGATTGATTTACGAGTTTGCTAATCTGCTTTGAATTTAATTGATGTAAATACATTCCTAGTTTTTCAACTGTGGAAATATTAGATAACACACTTTAGGCTCAGTTCTATCTTTTATTATTCCTATATTAATACTCTTTGTTTATTCATCCTTATTTCGAGTGTTTTAAACTAGTTCGGTATTACTTACCTATGTTTTTTTCTAGTAGAATATAGAAAAGAGTAAACCTCAATCTGTCTTTATTCAAATCAGTTTGCTCATTCTACGTATCTATATATCTTATAACTGCTTTGCAATGTCGTAACCGTTTTTTTTCCTTTCCTTTGTTTTACTAGGTTATCGAATCAAAACCATTGCTCAATCCTAATAATACATCTGGGAAAACAGTTGCCTGATTTATGTATCTTGTGTCTGTTAATCGTTGAGCTACATATATAAATGCTGCTCACTATTTTCGCGAAATCAATCGAAATCTTTTTCTTTTTATTCAGACAAAAAGAACTTAAAATAGCCTAAATTTCATTTTTTTTTCTATCCTAGTGCTTCCCATAACCTTATCCCAGTGTTCATTGGAATTTACTCCGTTATCATATTATTTCATTAAAATTTTCTATGCTAGAATCATTTTGTACACTTTTTCAAAATTTAGAAATCAGTCTGTTAATACAGTTTTGTTTTCTCCTTACAAGAAATGTAGCTAATCCATTTGTTGATTTTTTCTCTCTCTCGGTTTAACTGCTAAAAGCTTATTTAGGCGCTTTTTGTTTTAGCTTTCTATTAGATTTGCTGTATGCATACCATTACAGGCGTACAATAAATCATATAATGGTGGATCCGTTGATTGTAGTAATCAAATATTTTTGATATTTTCTGTTATGCACATTCCTGTTCAAAAACTCCATTCTACCTAAGCATCAGTTTCTCTTGGTTCATGCTTATCCACTTCCTTCCTCATTGTGTTCAAAGAGTTATTATTGTACTAATTCTAAGCATGTAATGACTTTGATGCTAGTTTATAAACCAAAATACTTAGATTATATATTTTTGTTAATTCTATTCATAATTGGTTGTCCTGTGTTTATTCGTTCGAGTGATTTTCTCCTCAAATCTCCAATTCACCCATTATGTCCTATCTATTGTTTTTACTGATACTGCCTTTTGTTTGTATTCATCGCTTTAATTAGCATTTGTAACATTCTGCACGAATCCTCTTTTTTTTTATTTTCGTCAATTCAATACATAGAGGTATTAAATTTAATTGGTCTTTTTGTACATTTTGATGTAGTTCATAACAGTTTTCCCCATGGTATTAGTCAGCATAATAATACTGAAAAGTGGGTGTTTTGATCCTCCCTCTTTCAAGTAATATTTCAGTCACTTGGATACGTGAGAAATACTTGAAGTTTCTGCCCACATGTATACTAAGTTAGTTACCACGCAGCAATTAAATGCGTGAGTTCGAATAAAAATTCATGTATCCTCTGTATTTATCCAACAAGAAGTTACAATTTTGCTTGATGCTCTTTTGTTTGTAAAAAATGTCTCGTTTATTCAAAAAACAGGTGAAGGAAGCTTCTTAATTTGAACTATATAATTGGAACCACTAAAAGCATATAAGATGAACTCAATGAATCGCAATTCATTGCATCACTTTGTTGAAAAGGTAAAATTACTCCGTGACCACTTACTCCATAGGTTACAAAGATAGTTTTGATACTCCTTCGATTTAAATACGCACATTCAATTATCCAAAGACATTACTTACTATACAATTTGTCAAACTGGGAGCTTTGTGCATGAATTTATTTACATGATGATATATAGTGTTTAGTGATGTCAACTTATCAGAAGTCTTAATGTATGATATAAATAAGATTTTGTCTAAGCTACACAATGGGGCACCAACCATAAAATCTGAGCATGGGCTGAAAAACAAACCGAGGCAGGCGGTTTCCTTAGAGGGATACCTCCGAAACCTCTGACCTACATGTCGAATCTATGGGATAGTGAAGCAACACTAGGAAATGCAATTACATCATAACAATAAGTTTGTACGCCACTCGTTCCCTCAGGATTCGGAAGCATATGTGCACTGTTGGTTCGGGATCAGGGCATTCCAAATGCGACCGTTTGCACCATTCTAGTTAAAGCACTAGAAACTCGCTCTCAGTTTCGTGTAAAACACTCCTACCAAGAAAAGCCAGTGGGCAGGACTTCACCCATAGCTATATACGCGTGGCCATAACGGAGCGTTTGGAGAGGGAGAGCGATTTGTCCATATTCAGTCATACTAGTTTATTTGAGGGTAATTATATGGTTACTTCCTTTACTTATTTTCGATTAAGAACACTTAATTTGTATTGTGAATGGTACCGGTGTTCTATTCATTTTGGCATTCGATCACTACGGCGATATTTTTCGAAAGTCCTTAATTCAACAGGATGTTTGGGATGAAACTTTTCCTAAAAATATTTACCTGACTAAGTTACTAATTATGGAAAGATGGTTGACACCATAGTTGGGGGGCTAGAAATATAGTTGCTCAGTTTGGAAATCCTCCTGACAACAAATTCCTTTTAAACTTGATACAAAGTATTACTTATATATATATATATATATATATATATATATATATATATATATGTATATATATATGTATATATATATATATATTCTAAATAGAGCAATGATTAATTTATTTCACGATCGCGCAATTTATGCAAGTTTGAAATGCTCCAAAACTGGATTACATAGTGACTCTATTGGGTTATTTATCCTTTGAAGAGAAAAACTTGCACTAAGCCACAGAACGTCGAAATTTCAATTTTTCACTCATTGAGTTATCACTAGTTTATTTTCATTACTAACGCTGACTATCTTGCTTCTGGCAGTTGACGTGAGTAAACTGCCAAACTATCATGACAAATAATCTAGATTAACGTATTTCAACATATGTTGGTCAAATAGTTATATAGAAGATTATTTAACTGCTTGCTTATTAATATGTAGAGGTTGTTTTTCACCAATTACAAGATATGACATGAAATAAGTTCATATTGTAGTGTGACTATTAATTTCCTCATTTTATATGAAATCGTCAATGCGATAAAATGTTATTCGGATCGTAATCACACTCACCCGAAGCATCACCTTCTTAAACCAGATTTCAAATTACATTGACTAAGAAATCGTATGTATAAATCATAATATCTGATTTCAACAGACATCCATTTTCTCTTATCATTTCATATGAATGTATTAACTGGAATGAATATCGTTTCACTCTACACCCGTATCAGAAAACCATCTGATGTCACTACTGTACACTATAATAATGAATAATTTTTTTTTAAAGAAGCATTATACTAACTAAACGAATTGAACATAAATTATTGTAGACCTCATTTGCTACAGTTCACAAAGATTAATATTACAAAGAATCACACTTGTTCCGTGATCATCAGCTAGTATTATCAATGATTATCTATTTAAACAGAAAATAATTACCATGTACCTAAACCCCACTGAAATTTATTGACGTTTATCAACTAAACAACTTCAATCCCTGGATATTTTGAACCCTTTCACGAACTAATAATAGGTTAGTTTACTTAGGATGCTAGAGGTATATTCATGCTCTAATAATCTTCGTTTATGTTGAATAGCCCGCAGAATTGCAGATTTATTAAATGTGGGTATTTAAATGATAAGAGCATATTCATATCCATCCATAAGAGTTAACGATGAAGCACGTGTATATCAAGCTCAATTAAAGGGGATGGACCATACATAGGTAACTGAACTTCTCCTTTCAACTAATAACCTAATTTCAATAGACTTCTCCTTTTGCCATGTTTGTCTCAGTGATATAAACAATCAGGTAGAAAGTGTTTTAATGTATCGAAATAAATACGTAGTCAAAAAAAAGAACAAGTTAACTATAATTAGACTAATTTATATACTAAACTTCCGACAAAAAAATTTTCTACCTGGTTCAAGGTCATTGCTTTCCTTGTCTACAAACTGAAAATATCCACCTTGTACAAAAACTTGATATTTTTGGATTTTTTTTCTATTTACTGTCGACGTTTTTTATTATTACTGGTAAAAAAAATACCAGTCTCCAAATGTTGTGTGAGCATTCAGATAAGTATTGATTGTAAGCGTCTTGTGGATGTTCTAGTCACAGACAAAAAATTTTAAGAGCCATCATCATATGATTACTAAAACAGTTTACTGTTTTTAAGTTTCATGAAATAAAATTATGTTTATCGTTTAGTTGTTAGCAACAAACATAATTTACCGAAAATTTATTGAAAATTACATAATTGATGAGAAGCACCAATTTTCAACAGATTTTAACATGTTTCTGGTGAATTTAGACTTTTGATGTACTTTGTTGACAAGTTTATTGGGTAATAACTGTTGTTTCCTCTTATGTTACATACTAGTTGCAACATGAAGATGTTACTCGGTGAATTGCTGTACACAAGTAAACCAAAGGACGTCTTATATTAGATTGAGATAATGAAATTTAAGTTTATCCTTGCTATTCGAAAGTAAATTCAAGTTTAAATGTCGTAATCGATATCATTGAATATATTTAAGTGTTGATTATCGTTAAATGTATTCTTAAGCTAGCAAACTTTCGAAACTGTCTGAAAGGGTTTTAATTCAGTGAGGTGATTAGCTTTTACATTTTGTTACTCATTAAAGCTCTACTACTACTCCTACATGGATACTCATTACTTAGTGAGGTAGGCTTTTTAAAGACCTATCCGTTCAGGATGTTCACCTATATGATATTTTTCAGATATAATTGAAATGACTGTTTGATGCCGATTCGATCGCTTAGCTTCAAAAGTCTCCGAAATAATATAATGAATTAGTTTAGAATAAGATGAAAATTACACTAAAGGAAATGTTTCAAAGAGTAACTAAATAGTTATTTATGCAAAATTTCCCAAGTTTTCTGATTGGATTTATTGCCAAAAAAGCACTCCTAACAACCGAATCGGGTTAAATTATTCTGTTTGTTTCGAGTTACTTTGATCATCATTATGTAAGTTGACTCAAATTCTCATCAGCTCGCCATCGGGGGTTGTTTTTTTTCGATTCCACAGTCGTCATGCATTTTTATCGGTTTATTTCGGGTATATTCATCTATGCTACACCTTGTTCTGGTTTGTCCCAATGTCACCCTTGAAGCTAACGAATTCTTCCAGATATAATAATAACTAATAAAGCATGTTAGATTTTAAATTTGATTCTTTTAATTGTTTGGTGTTTAAGGAGACTGCTAACTATCCCGCCATATGAAGAACACAATTCCGATACACGTTCTGTGAGGTATTTCTCTTGCCTAGATTCACCTTTTTAACTAGAACAGAAATGAAACTCTCGGTATTATGAAAGTCAACTACTAAACGTGTTATCGTTTGTGATTAAAATAGACAACCTTAGTTATTTTTCGACTCATTTTTTCAAACAGAACTTGGTAATCACTGAGTAGAAGTATGTCGTCATAGAGCTAAATTTGTCCGATCAACTTACAATTTTAATTTTGATTACTTTGAAATTCAATAATTGTAATCTCAACTAGTGTGAGCCTTTTATCTTTTGGAAGACAAGATTAACAATATCTACTGTATGTTATTCACCACCTATTCTCCTATTATTAGAAACAACAGAATGAATGGCATTCGGTTAGTGTTGGATCCTAGAAGGCGCGTTTCGTTCTATTTGATGTCTATTGACCGAATTGAAATAACATTCTTCCATTACAGCCTTTGCTCCTTAGACATTCACAATTATCAGTATTATTGCTATAAAAAATTTAAGTCTATGTTTATCGTTCTTCACTGCATAAAAGTAGACAACGATGTTGAAGAAAATAATCCTATGTAACTAAAATATGTTGGTGTTTATGATCGTATAAACTAGATTTTGACTAACGAGAATAAATCGTCTAGCCCTAAGCCAGTCGGATATGAATGACATAACTGTGAAGAAACCTAAGCATTGTATTCGATCTTGCCAGGAAACCCGTCAAGATTCGTTACCCAGAAGCCAGAATTTCAATTCTCACGTATTTTATAACTAGTGAGATATCTCCTTTGTGGTGGACCAATCAATATATTACTTACTTACTTACTTACGCCTGTTACCACCAATGGAGCATAGGCCACCCACCAGTTTTCTCCAACCAACTCTGTCCTGGGCTTCCCTCTCCAGTTCTGTCCAATGTTTGTTCATTCCTCTCATATCTTTCTCTGTTTCTCGGCGTAATGTATTCTTTGGCATTCCTCTTTTCCTTTTGCCTTGAGGGTTCCATGTGAGGGCTTGTCTCGTGACGCAGTTAGGTGCTTTTCGTAGTGTGTGTCCTATCCACTTCCACCGCTTCTTCCTGATTTCCTCTTCCACTGGAATCTGGTTTGTTCTCTCCACACAGTACGTTGTTACTGATGGTGTGTGGCCAACGAATACGAAGTATTTTGCGTAGACAACTGTTAA